GATTTATGACAACAGTTCAGGTTACCTTTACATTTATACATATATCAGCCTGATTTATAACAACAGTTCAGGTTACCTTTACATTTATACATATATAAACCTGATTCATGACAACAGTTCAGGTTACGTTTACATTTATACATATATAAACCTGATTTATAACAACATTTCAGGTTACGTTTACATGTATACATATATAAGCCTGATTTATGACAACAGTTCAGGTTACCTTTACATTTATACATATATAAACCTGATTCATGACAACATTTCAGGTTACGTTTACATGTATACATATATAAGCCTGACTTCACATTTTTACATATATAAGCCTGATTTATGACAACATTTCAGGTTACCTTTACATGTATAAATATATAAGCCTGATTTCTGACAACATTTCAGGTTACGCTTCACATTTTTACTATATAAGCCTGATTTTTGTAGCAATATTGCATTATTTGAACAGACATACATTTATGTGATGTATATTGATAAACCTGATTTATGACAACATTTCAGGTTACCTTTACATTTATACATATATAAGCCTGATTTTTGTAGCAATATTGCATTATTTGAACAGACATACATTTATGTGATGTATATTGAAGTTGTCAGGTCCCGTACATACAAACAAATGTGTTTTGCTAATAGTGTCTTTTCAATCGTTGTTGTTTTTAGGGTCTCTTTAAGGTCCATCGTTGTTGTTTTCAGTGTCTTTTTGAGGTCCAAATTTGTCCTTTTCTACTGATGTTGTAGTGTATATAACTATATGTATTTTGTCCTTTTATGATTGAGCTGTAGTATATTTTGATTTGTGTATTGACGGGTGTATTTTGTCTTTGTGAGTTGGTTTGAAATGTTTTTCTCGCAAATTAATGATGTGTATTGTGTTCTAGTGTGATGACAGTGGTAAATTTGTCTTTGTGTGTTGTCGCTGTAGAATCTTTTATAATCAACTAGTTTGTATTGACGCTGTGGTGAATTTTGCTCTTATGTGTTTACGCTATTATATCTGTACTTTGTGTTGACGCTGTAGAATAGTTTAACATCGTATATTGACGCTGTGATATATTTTGTCCTTGTATGTTTACGCTGCAGACGACTTTATCATTGTTTCGACGTTGTAGTGTAGTTTGCCTTAGTGTGTTAGGTGCTGACGCTGTGGTATATTTTGCCCTTGTGTGTTTACACTGTTGCGTCTTTTACCCTGGTATGGTGAGAATATGGTACATTTTGTTTTCGTATGTTGACTGTTTTGTTTTATCTTTGTGTCTTAATTCTGTGGACTATTTTGTCTATGTGTGGTGACGCTGTGGTAGTTTTGTCCTTGTGTGGCAACGTTGTGGTAGTTTGTCCGTGTGTGGTGACGCTGTGGTAGTTTCGTCCTTGTGTGGTGACGCTGTGGTAGTTTTGTCCTTGTGTGGCAACGTTGTGGTAGTTTGTCCGTGTGTGGTGACGCTGTGGGAGTTTTGACCGCGTGTGGTGACGCTGTGGTAGTTTTGGCCGTGTGTGGTGACGCTGTGGTAGTTTTGTCCGTGTGTGGTGACGTTTTGGTATATTGTGTAATGTTTTGTTGAAGCTGTTTTGACATTGTGATATAATTTTATGTTGTGCTATTATGTGGTGAAGCTGTGATATATTTTGACACTTTACGTTGACAATGTGATCGATTTGTATAATTTGTCATTATGTGCTCCCGATGTATTTGTCCTCATGTATTGACGCTGTGGTTTATTTTTTCCTTGTGCGATGTCACTATGGAATACATTGTCTTTGTTGCTGTTGTGCTATGATTTGTCATTGTTTGTTGAAGCTGTGATATATTGTGTCCTTCTATGATGTTTCCCTACACGGTATTCTGTGGTGTTCCTCTCCAGGTCCCTTCACTATCTTCGGTCCCACCGATGATGCTTTCACCAAGTTGCCACGCGTCATTATTGATTACCTAAAGAAGAACAAGACAGCGCTACAGGATGTCCTAAAATATCACGTGGTCAGTGGAAAGGTGTACTCCTCTCAGCTGTCCAACGAACTCCAGGCTGCCTCTTTGTTGACTCCAGCCAAGATTAGGATCAACATTTACCAGGGCGGCAAGGTACGCATCTTGTTAATGGTTAAAGGTCAAGAAGATAGTGGTTCAATGTCAAATATTTGTACAATAGTAACTGCTGGTCAAGACGTCCGAGGGTTTGAAAAGTAATTGCAATGTCCTCAGTATCAATTTATCTATTAAGAAATCAAAGTTTTGGTATTATCAATTATCATTACTTTACGGGAATAAAGTGTAAATTCTAACGCAATAATGCTGAAAACAGTATAGTTACAAAATATGTGTGAATTCTTTTTGAGACTTTATATAAGTAAAGATAAAATTATTATTGAACTGTATCCTTCGGTGCCACAGGTGGTGACTGCCGATGGCTCGCCAATTGTGAAGGTTGACCAAAACGCCAAAAACGGTGTGATCCACGTAGTAGACCGTGTAATGTTTCCCATCCCGATCGAGTCTATGGTGGACATGGTGAAGGCCGATCGTCAGCTTAAAACCCTTCTCGCTGCCGTTACTGCCGCCGGCATAGGTGGCGCTCTCGGTGGTAAGTCTTGGGTACTCATGAAAGGGGTGGGTCTAATTGCGCTGTCGGCAATAAGTCTGCAGTGCCAAGAAATGGGGCAACCGCGGAACTGTCCTTGGTACGAAACCACTGTTAACAAAATATATGACATTTGACGCTGAATCCGGAATGAGAGAGAAATGATTGTCAAAAGTATTTTCATTTCTTATTGAGTAGATGATGACCCGGATGTGATGACCTTACTAGAATGATACAATTGAATAGTAAACGTTGAGGAAATATATACAAGCTGGCAAATCTTTTGTTTATCATGGTAACTAAATTTTGTTTGCTCTTTTCTGTCTATAGCCGACGGTCTGACCCTCTTTGCTCCGACAGACAAAGCCTTCGCCAAGCTTCCAGCCGGCACACTGGACAACCTACTGAAGAACAAGACCGCTTTGACCGGTAAGGGAGAAGGTTACTTTGGGTCATTTTCACACATCCTCCTGGTATTTGCAGCGCTTATGATAAAATAAAGGAAGGTCTATTTAACTAAGATAGTATAATGACCGATATCTATATTGATGCCCATAGTCAACAAGATATTTACAGGTCTGCAACTTTTAATGTATAATTAGTCATTTATGATTGTTAGAGCACTTAAACACTTAAACTCTACACGTGTTTCTTATATATACAGAGGTACTGACGTACCATGTTGTCAAGGGAACAGCCTTCAGCGCA